GCTAAATTATCCCTATCTATTAAACAAAAATGACAAGGAAAATTCGAGCTTGCTGATTTATATGTTAAACAAAATGTTACAGCTTCTGACCAATTTGCGATTATTGTTGAAATTTTTGGATAGAACCAGATATATTTGTTATTAAGTAACAAATTAATTCCATTTTCCGAATATGCTTGAATTGGTTCTAAAATTATTTTTAAACATTTATGAAATGTTTATCTAACTGTATTTTTGTCCAAGTTAGATGATTTGATTATTGGCAAATAATCTAATAATTGTTTTGCATCCTGTTTATTTCTGCACTATATAGGTATATTGCCCAATAACAAATATATTGGATGAAGTTGAGTTTTGCCTAATGTATCACAATTTGTAACATCAGAATATAAAATAATTGATAAAATTTTTGAACCTATAGGTAAAGTAATTTGAGTAGTCTTCTACTATATTCCATTATTTTGCTCTTTATAAATATACTCTTTACTATTCTTTAAAAAAAATAAATTAATAAAAATCAAAAATATTTTAATAAATAATATTAAAATAATACCTCAGTAATTTTATATAATTCTTCAAATTCAAGCGCAAAATTTTGTGATATATCAGAAATTTCTAAAATTTTCTTAATACATCGAATTAATAGCATATGGTATAAGAAATACTTAGTATTATCATGTTCAAAAACTTTCATTTTCTTATATTTTAAATTACTTTTCATATTATCTATATACTGCTTTTCTTGTGTAATATTTTTGGTAATGGCGATGAAGAATGATTTGAATGCTTATTAAAAAATGAAATAATAGCATTTCCGGCAGCATTACTTAGCTTGTATTTTGTAACCAAAACCATCAAATCAGTATAAGTTTCATTAAAAAAACTATCATATTCGTGATTAACTTCATCATTATCAGAATTACTTCGAATATTTTTGGATATTTTAGTATTATTATAAATTTCTTCAGAAAGATCTCTATATTCTTGCAATGTATTTTCGAAGTCTTAAAGTAAATTAGTATTATTTTCTTCTAATTCAAAGGACATATTTTCTAAATATTTAGAAGAATCTTCTATATTATATAAATTTAGAGAATATGTATAACCTTTAAAATCATTTTGATTAGGCTCTAATTCATTAAATGATTTTGAAGTACTGCCAAAGTTAATGTCTTTAAATAAAATTTTTTAGAAGAAAATTCACTATTTAATTTATTTTCAGCAATATCAAAAAAATCATCTTGATCATATTCGGCATCCATTATATGATAGAATACACTTAGACATATGTCTACTTAATTCACTATGAGTTGAAAAAGTGCGGTCACAGAAGGTATACTTAAAGCTAGTCATTTTTGAAAAATAGGATATTTTGATTATAAGAATTTGTAAATAGATTTAAAATGTTTGATTATTAGTAAAACAAAAATTTAATATGAAAATGAATATGAAGTTATCAGCTTATTTATATTTTCTGAAAAGTAATTAATCTTGTTTCTAAAGTATTTAATTTGTTACATTAACTTTATAAATTTTAATACTTCTTTTATTAATTTAAATATATGCAAAATTATTAAAAAAATTTGTAAATTGCTAAATACTCTATTCATTATGATAACTTTAGTTATATTAAAATAATATTAGTTACCATTATGATTATTTTAGTTTTCATTATGATAATTTACAATAAATTAGTTAATCTTAAAATAAACTTGATAAATTTATTTAAAATATCTTTAAATAATGCGAAAAATTTAAATAGTTGCAAAAAAATTTTGTTATGCTAATTATTTAATTAGTATAAATTTTCTTAAAAAATTTCGAATGGTTATATTACAGAATCCTGACATTTAAAATCCTAACATACAAAATCTCGACAAACAAAATCTTAACAACAAAATCCCGACACTGCCAAAATCTTAATAGTGCTATTATAAGTATTTTGGCAGTGTCAAGATTTTGATGTCGTGATTTTGTTTGTTGAGATTTTGTATGTTGGGATTTTGAATATCAGGATTCTGTAGTATAACCATTTCGAATATATGCGAATATATGTAAAATAGTCTATTATACTGCTTAAATATTTAGTACTAATAATTTTTCTTAAATTTTTATTCGGTATGATATATTAATGTAATTTATATTAAAACATTTTTAATATATGTAAATATATTTAAACGAAAAAAATAGATTTTAATTAATTTTAGATAAATCTAAAAAATTAGAATTACGCAAAATTTATTCAAATACATTAAGTTATTAATGAATTTTTAAAATAATTAGTATTTTGAAAAAAAATAAAATTTATTTGCATATAAAATTAATATATTAATTTTGTTCTCAAAGTATAATTCGTTATAATAACTTTAGTTATAGTGAATGCAATTAATTCGAAAAAATGCAAAATTATTAAAAATAAATAATTAATAATATAAATTTTAAAATATGTAATTTATTGTATTGTTATTCTTAAAGTAGTTAATTCGTTATGTTAATTATTTATATGTCTAACCAATATATAAATTATATGTATGTATGTCTGTAAGAAAATTACGTATCAAAAAATAAAAAAATGCATTGTATAAGTTTTTTTAGAAAAAATAAAAAATTTTTGCTATAATTGAAATAGATTGTATTTAATAAAAAAATTTGAAAAGAACGTACATACATATGCAAAAAAATACAGGAAAAGTATATATAAATAAATAGAAATAGAAAATAGATCAACAACTAACATCAAAATAGATCAACAATCAACATATAAAATAGACCAATAATCAAAATTGTTTTAATATTCATAAACTTAGAAATTTTCGACATTAACAACTTACGTGACTTGGTGTTTTCACAAATATTCGCAACTATTTGCAACTATTTGCATCTATTAGAAAAATTTTACAACAATTCGCAATAATTCGCAAAACTTTCAAGACAGTAGAAACAAAATAACATTAAGCTTTTTATTTTTTATAAGTTTGCAAAATCTTGTTTTGAAGTTTTTAATTATTCTAATATTTTTAAATTTATTAGCATCTTTTTTAGTTTTTCAAATTTTTTAAACTATTTAACTTATTTTTATCTTTATTTTTTTATAAGTTACTACTAAATTTTTTTAATTATTTTACAATTATTCTATTAGATAAGTGTTATAATAAATTTCTAATTATAATAAATATTTAATTTATTTATAAGTTTTAAATTATTTAAAATTTTTTGAAAGTTTAAGATGTACGCTAGTTTGTTATCAGATTCCAAGAAAAGCTCCAAGAATGACAAAAGCAAGAAAAATAAAGGAAATACAAGTGAAAAAAGTGCAGAAAGATTAGTAGATAATGAAAAAGTCTTGAAACATTCAAAAATCTTGGCAAATAAAGGTAATACCCATTCACATTCCTATGAATCTTCGCAAACATTCGAACATAATTAAATTATACTTAATTTTATTGATTTATTTAAACTTCATTAATTTTAATTAATTTTATAAACTAGTACCTGAAAGAACATTAGCTAAAATTTTAGAAAATCAAGGTGAGATAATCTATCAGATTAAGCAACTAACTTCACATTTTGTTCAGGTTGAAAATAGATTAAAGGAAATTAAGGAAAAATTGAAGTAGAATTTTGATGTTATGAATGAAAAAACATTTCAAGAAGTAATTTTTTTTTATTTTGTAATTTATTTATTCTTTTATAATTTAATCTAACATATTATTATATTAGCAAACTGTGAAGGGAACCGCTAAATCCTTTATAGAATATTCTATATATCTAAAAGAAGAAGAATTCAAGTCGGCAACAGAAGTATATCTTTGAACTAACTACTCTGACTTTTTCAATAAAATGTCAAAGAAAATATGAAAAGCATATTATGCTAAAAATATTAATGAAGTAGTAAACATTTAGTTTATTTTAAATATTTAATTTTATATTCTAATTGTATCGAATATATTCGAATATATTCAAATATTTTTAAAATTAATCAAATATGATTAATATCTAACTATATTTTAATTTATTCAAATATATTTGAAAAATTTAGACTAAATTATAATTTACTAAATTAATATTATACTTAGCTTTTGGAAAAGCACAGATTATTGCAGAGTTCTTTGACTACTAAGATTAAAGAAGCTATGTTTTTTGTATTTGGGGATCTTTTGGAATCTATTAACAGCAAAGCTAACCCTGAAGAAGTTTTATACTGGAAGCGTTCAGATAAAACTAAGTTCTGCTACAAGCGTCTTTTTGCAAGAATTGTAGATAATTCCGAGAATACTTATATGTCTCAGATATTGCAAAAAGTTTGGCCTTCAAGTGATGCAGTTGCTGTATATCAAACGATCTTAGATCCATATTATGAAAAAATAACAATTTTTGAAAACGTCGTTAAAAATAAAATTGCAAGAAATTTAGTAAATATATATTATTATTATTATTATTATTATTATTATGATTATTATTATTATTATTATTATTATTTTATTAAAATCGAATTATTTCAAATATATTAGCATATCTTAGAAAAAGGTGAAGCATTTTCATTGCCACTTTCTGAAGAAAAAACTTCTAGCTCCGAAGAAAGTGAAGATTTAGAAGAACATAAATCAGATAAAAATATTACCAATGAATCTGAAAAGGTAAATTTATCTTATAAATGCTAGTAATTTTAAAATACAATATCATAATTTACTAAATTAAAATATTTAATTTAAATATAAAATTCTATAAATTTTAAAGGCAGAAAGCAATAAATGCAGTTATGCATATACTTTCGAAAAAGTAAGATTATATTTAAAAAAAATAAAAGATAATTTTTTGAAAAATTAAAAAAAACTATTTTTTTTTAGGCAAGAAAAAGACTTAAAAAAGGTTATAATACAAATAAATAATTAAAAAAAATTTAATGTTTTGAAAACCTTAATATATTAATTATGAAAAATATCTAAATAATTTCAGATATATCCGAAAATGAAGAAGAACCTGAAGATGTGTAAATTTTTATTTTTATTTTTTTTAACGAATAGTGCTGCTTTTTGTTTTTTTTGAAATCATACAAGTAATCGAAAGAAGCTGAAAACAATTTGAAGATGATAAAAAATTCTTAGCTTTTTAATTTACAAAATTTTTTTAATAAAAATATTAATAATTTTGCTTTTAATTTATATTAGTTTATTATATATCATAAAGTAAAATGAAAAAAGAAATTTTAAATTGATATTAATGCAATAATAATAAAGTATAAAATAAAATCGAAATATTTGAAAATATTCGAAAATATTCAATAAACATCAAAATTATGAAATAATGTATATTTGATTATTAAGTTTATTTAATTGTTGATTTATAGTGTAATATTGCAATTTAAATTATTTGCAATTTTTTGTATTTTTTCGAAAATTTTCGAAAATATTTGAAAATATTTGCAATATTATAAATTTTATTGTAAAATTTATTTCGAAAATTTTTGCAATATTTTTTGCAATATTTGAAAATTTTTTCTAAAATTTTCGAAATTTAAATTTTTGAAATTTTTCATAATAAACGAAATTTTTTCGAAAAATTTTGGCACAAAAATTTTTTTGAAAATTTTTCTATATATTTTTTGCTGATGCTAAGAGAAGTAAGTAATCATATTGAGTGAAGAAGGTGATTGTGCTGAATGAAATAGAGGAATTATAAACATTACTTATTATATTTATATTTATTATATCTCATGTGAGAAAATTAAAGAACTTTGCTGTACAGTATTTTGTGTTTAAAACATTTAGAACTTATATAGAAGAATTAGATGTTCATGCAGAAGAAAAAGGTGTTCGTATAGAGGAAGAAGGTAAACTTGTGTTACTTTCTTGTATAATACTTTTGTGTAATCTAAATTATTATTTTGTGTAACTTTGTATCACCTTAGGTTATATGAGGTCATGTACTGTGCTACACTTTCAATAACCAATTAGAATATTTCTAAACAACTACTATAAAATATATTATCTAAATATAATAACTAATATATAATAATAAATATTATTTTAACTATATATATAAAAGAGTATTTCTATTTGTACACTATGTGTATATACACATATCATATAATTACATATTGTTTAATTAAATTTATAAAATCAAATATACTACGATTCATAAAATTCCATAATACTAAATTATAACAATAAACTTTTTATGACTTATTGTATATTATTATATTATTGTTACGTACATATTTGATCATCATTATATAACAAATATTTTTAAAATACTAATGTGTAACAACTATTCTAGAATGCTAATCTAATACTGTACTATCAACACTAACAAACTTGCCTAATCTTAACCAGATACCATTATATTACAACAAGCTTAAAAATATCAACGATATACAAAATGATAAAACATCAATAATATCAACAATAAAGCAATAATGCTAAATATAGCATAAACAGAAAGACTACATAACTAATCAAACCAATTCATTGTTATTTACAAAGAAAAAAAAGAAGAATTAGAAAGTGTATTAACTATTCAGAACAACCAAAACATATTATACTTCCTGAAATATACCTAACTATTAGAATGACAAGTTTGCTGAACGCCTTCAATTCATTGTTATCTACAGAAAAAAGGAAGTCATTAGTAAAGTACATCAAAGATCAGAACAACCAGAATAGCAAATTATACTTCCCGAAATATGCTTAGACAAGTTCGCTAAATGCTTTCAATTTATTGTTATCTACAAAAAAAAAAAAGCTGTTAGTAAAGTGCATCACAGATCAAAACAATCAGAACAACAAATCATACTTTCTAAAAGACAAGTTCACTAAATGCCTTCAATCTATTGTTACCTACAAAGAAAAAAAAAGAAGTTGTTAGTAAAGCATATCACAGATCAGAACAACCAGAACAACAAATCATATTTGCTAAACATCTTCAATCTATTGTTACTTATAAAAAAAAAAAATCATTAGTAAAATGTATCTACAAAGCAAAACAACCAAAACAACAAATCATACTTTTTAAAATATGCTCAATAATTGGAGTAACAACTTCGCTAAATGTTTTTAATCTATTGTTACTTACAAAAAAAAAACCAAAACATTAGTAAGTACATCAAAATATTAGAAAATTCAGCAAGAAACAACAGAAATATACTTCACCAGAATTTTTAAGCCCAGAGACATCCTAACAAACCTAAAAAGAGGGATATAACTATTCCAACCTTGATAACTATTTTTAAACTTAACAACTAATCCTAACCAATAAACCCTAGCTACCTAACTCTAACAAAATAACAGAAAAATCACTCTAACAAAAGAAATGGCACAACAACAACTTTACAGATCTAAAAAAATAACCTAACACGATGAACTCTAAAGTATCAAAATGCTAACGAAAATTGATCTAAGTGTGTATACTAAAGGCAGTAATATACATTTTAACTATCTAAAGGCTTTTTTGGCACTGTCTAACGTCTAAGTGTCGAAGTGTCCACAAGTGTCCAGAGTATATCTAAGCTTTAATAATTAATAAATCTGTTTAAAAAATATATGATTATATATTTTTTTAGATGCTGAACATATTTTACTTAAGAAATAATATATATTATCTTAATAAAATTTTGAGTAATTTTAATTTATTTAATTGTTCAAAATTGTCTAAAGTGTCCAAACTTACTGTCTACAACTGTTGTGTAACAACACTGCCAAAGGCAATGAAATGTGAACAAAACTTGCAAATAACAACAACGAAGACAACAACATCGAGAAAAATGATATTGAAAGTGACAGCTCCAATGACTTTGACAATTCAATAGCAAATACAATTCTCTCCTAATGGTATCAATGACAAACAAGGTGTAACAAAAATGATCTTCAAATCTGAACGATATCATTATCTAAAAATAGATGTTAAAATAAAGTAAAACAAAAAGCATAAAAAAAATAAATTTATACTTATCTATCAGATCTACATTTGTGTTATACATATATATACACTATATATAAACTAAAAAATTTTCTATATAAAAATACAAGTATTGAATATTTATAACTAAAAATAACTAAATAAAATTTATACTAAAATCTATTTTGTAACAATATAAGCAAATATTCGAAATTCCATTATCAATATGTTTTGAACTCCAATCTATTAACATACTGCTTGGGATGTAACAACTTAACTACTTTATTAAGTTGTTACATTCTTAAGCTTATTTTCTCTTCTTTCCTCTTAATATATATCTTAATTGATAATTCACGAGTCAGCCAGAAAGTGATCATAGTAAAATATAACTCAGATTACTATATAAATTTACTATAGTGCAAATGTGGCCTGCACAAATCTAAAACTTTTTTTATACTAAGTTAATCACCTTTTTTTGCTTAAAAAGCTTTGTAAAGCTTGTCAAAACACATCTAATGGTAGTTAGAACATCAAAATTGGCCTGATGAGTGCTGAGATATCTTTAAAAAACCTTTTTTTTTACTATATAATTCTTTGCAAACAATACTATTGTTTGCAAAGAAGTTTATATAGTAAAAAAAAGAGTTTTTAAAGATATTTCAGCACTCATCAGGCCAATTTTGATGTTCTAACTACTATTAGATGTGTCTTGACAAGCTTTACAAAGTTTTTTAAGCAAAAAAGATGATTAACTTAGTATAAAAAAGTTTTAGATTTGTACAGGCCACATTTGCACTATAGTAAATTTATATAGTTTTAAATTTTTACCTCCTCTTTTTTAAAAAATTACTAGATTTTATTATATCTTTTATTACAATTAATACTATATATTTTATTTATTTATTTTTTTTTAATATTAAAGTGATCACTTAAGGGTCTGACATATTTTATTAACTTTATGGTTTAAATACTAGGATAACTATTATATAAACACTTCTGACTTTATTACATTAACAAAAGTATTACTACTCTAATTAACTTAGTGTCATTAAATATTCTCTCCAAAGAAGAATTGCTATGAAAGCCTCTCAGGACTTTAAAGCGAACACATATTACTATATAGAAGGGTTCTTTATCCTCATGATAAACCTACTAAAGCAGTCTATATTCTAAATATATATCATCTAGATTTTTAGTAACTCATATCTAGACCACAACTAAGTATTTGCAGCATTTTATCTTTGCTACTATTACTTACTTTTTGCCCTTACAAAGTTCATCCAAACCCCAGCATCCACTTTACAGACTATCAACAGTAATTTGATACCAATCATTAGTGCTTCAAACTTCTAATCCAAATGGATCAGAAGAAATTAGTAGATGTCTCTTGGTGTTTCAAATAAATACTTTTTCTTTTAGTTATCTGATGGCCTGGTTGGTGTAGTGCTTTTGTTAAACACTTGGTCTTCATTCAGTTTGCCTTTAGTATCTAATTTCTCAGATGATAATTCTTTATGTAGTGCCATCAAAAATCTGTGCTATCTCTCTATTTGGAACTTTCTAAGTGGGCTTCCATACCCTTTGATGCCTTAAATTTATTTGGCTGCTTCATCTAGGATTTGTGCAACTTATATATTATACTATATTTCACAACTTCTCAATATGAGTTGGAGAGACCAAGGCAGTGTCTAAAATTTAATTTTTAATTTAGTTGTGGGCAGCAACTCAATAAAAAAACTTTACTTGCAGATTATATGAATTTAGTTGTGCATATAAATGTATTTATATACATATTTATATGCAAATTCACAAAATTTAGTTGCAGAACTGTATATACATTTCAGATTTTAGTTGCGGAAACTTATAAATCATTTGCGGTCTGCAAGTTCTGCAATCCAATTTCAGATACTGGACCACGGTTATAAGTACTAACCTAATCAATATATTATACAGTTTTATCATAATACATTCTGCAAATTCGAATTTTATTACCAGTGTGATTTGAACTCTTGTTCTGCCGCTTGGAGGTGTAACAACTTACCAACTTCACTAAGTCACTACACCCTATATACTTTATTTATTTGCATTATGTTAATCAATACAGATAATTTAAATAAATTATTTATTAATTTCTTATTCAATTTTTTTAATTTTTTTTTTTTTTCAGTGTTAAGGTGAGGTCATTGCCTCGTATCTTTATTAGATATTTGATGGAATATTTGCCTTATATGGCTACATATCTATCTAAGAATACAAGCTTTGGACAATTATCCATGACCTAAACCTACCAGAGTATGCTACATTCCCACCACGTATTGGGTTATACCTGGATTTGGTGTTCAGACTATTTCTAGTTACTTACCATATTCCCTCCATGTCTCATCATCAAACCTTGATTACTCCCAAATTGGTTCTTTTGGGAAATCGGTCCTTTTACAGCCTCCCAATTTGGTGTGCCTGTTATTCGGTACGTACTAGTACTAGTAAATAACCTTTCTTATAGGTGGCCTCTTGTATACGTATCTTAAGCCAGATGCCTGCTGCCGCCACCAGTCCCACATGAGAAGCATTGGTATCACATTTCAGGTCTTTGGACTTATCTTGTATTTGCGCCGCCCATTGTTGGCTTGCATCCCTTTATACAACAGTACATTGCATGAATGCCGCAGATCCTTCCACTTACTCCCCCAGATAAACTAACCTCGTATCTCAAGTCAGGCCTCTGCTGCCACCGACGGTTTGCCGTCCCCAGGTCTAGATGTTTTCTAAGTTGTATAGTGCAGTTGTACAACTTCTACCCCCTTATGTACTCCCTTATATGGTGTTCGCCAGGACTATATTCGTGAGGACCTCCTGAAGTTGCACAGCAATCGCAAGGCTATATACTTCTAGCCATTGGCTTTCGTAATTTGCTTTAATGACCTATCTTGTTAAAGACTGGCTTAACACCACGAAATTACTTAAGTGGCAAGCTAAATCACTTCTAGCTATTTCTAGTTGATGTGGCATTCATGCTGGTATATCCTAGCTCTTTTTATCATAGACTTTCATATAGGTGTGACCAGAGCTCCGATTTGGTATATTTAGATGTACAGGGATAGGTTATATTCTCTATGCCGAATAGCCTTCTATAGTCATTCTACCGATGCCAGAGGTGCTTCCAATTCTAGTTAAAGCTTGATTCTTTGTCATAGCCCATAGTTACATATCTCCGCTTCACTCACTACTCCAGTTTTGGTAGTATTAAATCACCCTTCCAAGCAAGTATCTAATGCCATACCATATTTAGGACTTATTCATACGATCCGTTGATCATCCTTCTAAGCAAGTACCCCACAAGTTGGATGCAGGGATGTTAGTATTGCCAAATATAGAGGTGATAGGATGTTGGTGTTGCCTCTTAGTCACCCCAACTGAGGACTTATACGCGCAATCTTCTACAGCCTAGACCTTCTGTGACGCCGCTATCACACGTAGTGCCCACACTCTGCAACCAGGTCTCCTTCCGGGAACTCCTTATTCTGGTCTCGTACTGCACTTGGACTTTCCACAGGGCTTCGCATCCGATTTGGCTCTATTGGTTATAGTAACAAATTCGAAAATTTGCCACCAGCCCGACTCGAACTATTGACCTTATCTGTGGGGGTTTGGAAGCTTAACCAATAAGCTACGGGATCCAAACCCCAATTTTTTTAATATTGATTAATCAAATTATTTAAATAAGTTAACAATTATTTAGTTTAGTTATATTTAATTTTTTATATTAATTTAATTATTATTTTAATAGACAATCTGTAAGATATTTAAACAAAATTTTTTTTTATATATAAATTTTACTATAAATACGAATATGCAGCACCTCTATCTAAACCTTTTTTACTAAGTAAATTACTTTTGGACTTCTAATAAAAGTTTTAAAGCTTATTTGTTTTTTATTTATTTATTTTTTTTTTTAACTAGCCTCTTTGGGGCTAAGATCTTTATTCAAGTATTGTTAAGTGGAGGACTCGCAGCTTAATGCCTCACAAGAACCCCTTATATTAAAAAGTACATTCTAGCCATACCTGCACTTTTTGAGCGTTTAATTAAATAGTTTGCCTATTACAGACTCTACACTAGATGCTGTACCTGTAATCCAACTATGAGATTACTTATTTAAACCCTCTGTAATGCAACTCTACCTGTGTCACTATTATATCTTTGTTATATAAGTCAGTCAAGAAGTCCCAGATGCTTAATCTACTCTTTATAGAACTATTTTATTTTCGAGATATCGTTGCTAGAGCTTTCTTTACCCACAATTTGACTAATCTAGTCTTTCAGTAACTAATACCAAGTCCAAGAACAAGTACTTACGAGCTGAAGCTGCTACCATTACCTACTACTGCCTTTGTAGAATTTATCCAAACCCCAGCACCCACTTTACAGACTATCCTCCATACTTCTGTTACTCCAAACTTCCAATTCAGATGGTTCAGAAGGGCTGTAACCTGCTCTGATCCCCACAGTTGGGTTCTTTTCCTCTGGTTACTCACTTGGCGGCCTGGTTAGTGGAGTGTCTTGCCAAACACTTCGGTCTTATTCAGTTTTCATTACTTCCGGGTGATAATCTTTTACATAGTACCATTGAAAATCTGTGCTACTTCTCTACTTGGGACTTGCCAAGCAGGCTTCTGTATCCTGTCAATCTGCTGGATTTATTCGGTAGCTTTACTCAGATTTTGTGTAACTCATACATTACACTAAATGTTCCACTACTTCTCAGTTCCAAGGGAGACTGTTAAAAGTTACACAAATTGTCGAAAATCTCTGAAATATAACAACTATTCAAAATCGTAAATTTTTATAAGTAAAAGAATATCAAAATTTTTGAAAATAAAACAAACTGAAGTGAAATCAAGTTAAATATCCAATATTTAAGATAAGAAATA